CTATACCAATTTATTTTACAGTCGGTTTTAAATGGCTGATTCAGTTTTTACTTTGTCAGTGGCTACATATTTCCGAAATCCCTAGGCAACAGTTGTGCATTCTCTTAAGCATTTGGCTTCCATTTTTTATTAGTCTTTTTTTCCTTTTCCTACTATTCATTTTTTTCTAATTGAACAGTTGATGAAATTCTCACATCTAAGACTCAGTACTGATTTTTTTTTTCTTGTTGTTGTGTCAGTATTAATATTATATTTATCTGTCTTTTATGTAACCATCACAGAAGTGAACATGGTATCATATTCCAGAAATTTTGGGGCTGTGAGATAATTTCAGAGTCCAGTAAATAATTATGAAAATCACTAGTGCGAGTAGCTCTTGAGAGGGTTCTGAATTTTGAACAAAATCAATTGTTCTGCTCTAGATTAACTGTAGCAGCAGATTGATGGTAGAAAAATATAAACCTGTGCTACTTGGGGATATGTGGCTTTAGAACTGGTTTATCAGCTGATACTTGAAAAGTTACTGGGTCGCGGATCAACTTTTGATTTAACAATTACAAGGAAATTGCCAGACGTTCTCTTATTATAATATATACATCTGCTTCTCATTAGTTTTTTGTTTGAATGTTTGCAGTGGCCTGAATTTACTGCAAATATACCATCCCTTGGCAGCGTTACGATTAATTCATCATTCTTCAAGAAGTTCAACTATAGCAGTGCAGTGGTATTCAATTATTCCCTTATTTTCTTTCAATCACTGCAGGATTTTTAGCTTTTCCTGTGTCACGTTCTTTGCAGTAGTAAGAACTTTTAGGCTGTGTTTGAGCCCCATTTTTTGGAAGAAAGAATTTTGTAGCAGTGATTTTTTTGAGAATGCGTGGTTAAAAAGTAGAGAAAATGTTTTAGGTTTACGTGTAAAATTATTTTACTGAAAAAATGTGTGATTAAAAACGAGTTTCGAAAAAATTGAGTTTTTATGTAATGAGGCTCGTACAGAGTTTCTTCTGATGAGCTGATCCATGATTGAGAATTGATTTAATACAGTTTCCATTTAACCAAATTTGATCTTGATGCTGTGAAAGGTGGTAAATTTTTGAAATTTTAGTTGGATTTTCTATACCACAGTTAATACACTTTAGGTAGATGTTGCTTGAATCTTTTACTGGTCCTGGGAGAAGGAAAGTAAGTAGTGTATGGTCAACTTTTTAATGATTCCATCTTTTCATGCAGTACTCAGGTCTTAGTTCTTGAAGTCTATTATTCTTTTGGTGCTTTTAAGGGCCTATGCCCTACTTGCACATTTTGCATTATTGGATTACAGACTCCAATTACATCTCTGAACATCCTCTCTCACTCTCCACGGCCACTTGGTCGGCCATGGAATGCCATTACATGCAAATGTCCTGAAGCTTGCATGCCCAGTTCTTCTGGAGTAATATCTCACTCGAAATGATTGATCTGAGAAGCATTTAAACAACACTTCACTTGTCCAAAACTAAACTATAAAATGGCTAAGTTGTGATGGTTTTGTTATAGCATCTGAATTTTTTGAATTTGGATATCTAATGATATGTGATGTCCAGGTCAGGCTGATTGCATCTGTTCCGGGATATCATTCTGGTTCCAATTTAAAAAAATGGGGACATATGAAGTTGCGCACTGTTCTTCAGGAGTGTACCTTCGAGAAAGAGTTTCACATGTCTCCTTTAGTTTGTCAGGTAAATTTTGACTCGTCTTCAATGCTGTGGACACACATCTGTTGTCTAATTGTGTATGTACTAATTGTGTTGGCTTGATAAGGACAATAGTTTGGAATTAACAAGATAGATTTAAGAGGGCTGTTGCTGTTAACTCTTTCATTTGACTAATAATTGAGATAGTAGGAATACCAAACTTTTTGCATCTAAATAAAAAGGCACCATATCTCAGTGAATGACTAGATTGAAACTATAGAGAATAGCAAACATGTCAATTACAAATATTGTTTCACATATTGTGGTGGTGGTTCCATCTGGCAATAGCTATCTCTGCGATGCAGTATTCATTTCAATTCTCTTCATTAAATGAGATTCAATAATTATTTGGTTGATACACATACTTAAGGTGTACATGGATTGACTTCCTCTACTCTACTGCTTTCCGCTCGTTTTATCTAAATGGTGATGAGGCTGTGAAAAGCTGTTTCTTTGGGGGAGACTATTAATGGTATAGGACCTTAGGTTGGACATATGATAATTTAAGCTTAAGATGCATATATAATGATGATAAGGATGCAACTTCATTTTATGGTGGATACAGTTCCACTGTAATGTACTTTATTTTTTTCTTTACATGAAGTTGGTATGGAGACGTTGCTCCATTATTGCTTTCTCTTAATACTTTTTAATTACTGCTTTATTGCAGTTTTCTTCGTTAGGCTCTTTGGATGAGAAGTGGATGGCTGAGCTAACAGCTTCAATGTCAGCTGGGGTTACAGAAGAAAAAAAGCCTCTGGGTCTGGGGAAGCCCTTGATAATATGGCCAACTGTGGAAGATGTCAGATGCTCTTTAGAGGTAATATCAAGCATTTTCTTTCATATGCGAGTAGTTCTGTATAATTCAGATGATTATTTCGGCAATTACGTCGTATGTAATTTTCCATGGTATAGAATGCGGTTTTGTTGATCTTGAGTCTAAATTTTTGTGAACTTTCTTCCACACAATAAAATGTAAATGATGCAAGGGTAGCCACGTGCTTTTTCCAAATCTGAGTTATGAATAGAAATTCAGAAATAAACTGAGTTGAAATTTCATGTAATTGGTAGTCATGGAGTAGATGATTCCTGTTTTTATTAAATATATTTCTATGCTATAAGAACTGTGCATTTTTGTTGAACTTCGAAAGATCTACTTAATCTTAAAAGTTTTGCATTCCTTCAGTTAGGTGTGAGTATTTTTTTCTTCTTCATTGTTCAGGGATATGCAGCTGGAAATGCCATCCCGAGCCCAGTAAAAAATGTGGAGAAAGAGTTTCTGAAAAAGTATTGGGCGAAATGGAAGGCAAGCCACACTGGTCGCTGGTATACATGTCTTCTTGTGCTACCAGCACAATTTTTATACTTTTGTTAGTTCAGTGTTTAATGGTGATATGTCGTCGTATTATTTTCTTTTGCGAGATAGAGTAATTGACCAATGGAGTGGGGAGAAAAGATTTACGCAGTCAACCCCAAATTTATTGTAATAAGTCTTAGCATGTGGATATCATTCATTTGATCGCTGAATGGTTGACAAATCTTATATTAAAAAATGAGTGCTTGAAATTTTTATTTGCATACTCAGTATGTAGGTGCTGATGATTTTTTTCATTGATTTTACGTAAGGATAATTACAGTTTCGTTTTTCCATTGTTCCAGTCATGCAATGCCTCACATAAAGACATTCACACGTTATAATGGTCAAAACCTTGCGTAAGGGTCCTATCAGATGTCATGTTTTTTGAATTTAGTTCCTTTCTGCTAGATAGCTGTGTGACGGCATGCTTTTGATTGTTGAAACCTGCATTGTTTTATGAACAGATGGTTCTTGCTTACTTCAGCAAACCTCAGCAAAGCTGCATGGGGGGCTCTTCAGAAAAACAGTTCTCAATTGATGATACGTTCCTATGAGGTATTTGTATTCAGCTGAGAAAATTTCGCAGGTTCTCGGTTAAATGTGCCACTTATATGGTTTGACTTATGTGTTTGATTGTTTCTTTAAATTTTTCCATGGTCCAGTGAGATCTCACTGGATGGAAAATGTCTTTTTTTCTACAATATTATTGTAAATTACAAATTTTTATCCAGTCTCAGTATTTTAACTTTTTTATGCCTTTATGGAACTGAACCTTATTTCGTACTTTGGATGCTCTTCAGCTGGGAGTGCTTTTTTTGCCGTTTTCTGGCAATCATTGTTGTGAATTTTCTTGCACGTATAATGGCAATCACTCAGAGGTAAAGAGTCGCGTGCCCTTCATTTATTCTTCTTTTTCCACACTGCTAATGCTTTTATAGTCTATATAAATCTTATTCTCATCTTTGATTGAATGTGGAAATTTTTTTGAGCGGGCTGTCAGGCTAAATCAGAATCGTCAAGAAGGTCTGAAGTGAAGAGAACAAAGCTGGTCACTTTGGCTTGGAAAGGAAACCGAAATGCAGAATCTACCGAAGTAATTCAATTGCCCATCCCTTATGAGCTTCCTCCTAAACTCTACTCCTCTGAAGGTACATCACTGCTCCATATGCTCTTCAGCTCTTACAGTTTTGAGACGTCAGATAAGATGGATTAAACTTTACTGGACATTATCAAAGGAGAAAAAAAGAAGAAGCTAAAATCTTCTCTTACTGTATTGTCCAATACGAAACTACTTATTGTACATGCACTTTGTGTTTGGATCATGTCTTACACTAACACTGCTCAACCCTACAGATGTACCCTGGTCCTGGGATCGCCAATATACACAGACGGATGTATATGGTCAAGTTTGGCCTCGGCAAGTACAACTTTATACTTGCCAAGATTCGTGATGTAAGTAATGTAAAGTAGTGTTTTCCTAGTTTGCTTCTGTTGGGGTCGGTTAAAATCTTCTTTAAGTTAAAACTATCGTTAGTGCTTGCCCTGTCTCAATAATTAGATCTCGGTACTTATTGTTGGAGTTCAAGTTTCAATATGTTATTGTTATTTTTCAGTAGTTTCAATTATTCAAAGTTCATTTCCATCTCTTTTCCTGCTCGGAGGCAAATTTAGTTGTGCACTCTATAAATTGAAGTCGCGACCATGCAGTTTTCGTAATAGAATGAGCATTTGGCCTAAAAAAATTTGGAAGTTGTTGCATACAACCAGTCACTTTGCTATGGTAAAAAATTTGTAGAAAATGGTTTGACCTTGAGATAAAATATATTATCTTACTATGTACAAACTTTTTTTACACAATCCTTTACTCATTACTCACAATAAAGATGGGGAGCACAAGCTGCCACTTTTTTAAATACATGCGGGGTCCACACGTTATGTGAGAGTGAGTGAAAGATTTTGTCAACCATAGTTTGTACATATATATTTATCCATAATACATTACAAATCCACACCAAAAGTTGTATGCTACTAAAATGAGTAATATTCATTACGTGAGGCTGTTATATTTTTATTTCTTCTATAATGTCTCAACTCAAATGGATGGGAGCCATAAAATTTCTCTCCCAAATCTATGAAAAGTGAATTGTTTTCGATCCTTCAAAATGTGTGACATATTTGAAAGAATTATCAAAATTGAAGAATGTTACTCAATAAATCAATGTTGATAACGGCTACTTTTAGAACTTCTTTAACGGGAAGGATTAGTTATTTGAAAACTATCTACGTGGTGTAATGGAATATATACCAAAGATTTTTTGTAAAAAATGTTTTCCTAAATTAGGTAAATGAAACACACAACGAAAAGGAAGAAGGATAATATCCAGAGCATAATATCCGGGATTCGATAATTTTGAAACAAAGATTTCAATTCCAATTACCAGTCTACCAAAGAAAATACGAAGAGAAATCCAACTGTGTTTTGAGGACCCTCTTGTCATGGATCGCAAGGTTATGATTTGAGGTTTGGAATGACACGGGAATGCCATGGCACAAGTGGGAAAATGAGATAGACTTATGGCAAATAAGGTATAAGCTTCGACGATACATGACGATGAGGGTGTCGCCAAATTTAGTGGGGGAGTGACTTACGTCCCCCATGATCGTGGCTGATACATCTAGGTTGCGGCTGGGGAATGCGGATAACGTAGGTAGTGCGTTATTGTTGGAAAGAAGTGCCTGCAGTAGGGGATGTGGGTAGGGAAAACACGAGCACTGATTTGGGAGACGCAAGTTGAACCTGCGGCAGGGGACACAGGCTGAACAACACAGGAACCTGCAATAGGGGATGTAGGCAAGACCAAAACAAGAACTGTGGTAGGCGACGCAGGCAGGCAAAACACAGGCAGACGCAGTCAGATTGTGTCAGGGAACGCAACAACAACACAGACAAATTGTAACAGGGGACACAATAGCAACACAGATAGATTGTGTAGGTAGCCACAAGCTGGGGATGCAGGCAGACGTTGGCTGGGGACGTAGTGACGAAAATCTGGTTTTCTCGGGTGAAAACCACTATCATGAGAGGGAAGCAATACCGTGGATTATAGCCGGTAGTTTTGGATGCAAGTGTATGTCAACTCAAGCCAATTGGACAACTTACATGTAACTTGACAACTTGCTCGAGGAAACAAAGTCCAACTTGGCCACCTTGATGGAGACATATCCACTTGCACACAATAGTTGTATAAGATCCACTTGCATGGAAAGTGACATGCCAACTATTATAGAGTTGGAAAGAGGCAAGATACAATGTACCAAGGCAATTTGCAAGTGTAGAGATATATCACTTGTAAGGTAGTTAATTCCAACTTGGCAACCTTATGGTCAAAGGAGGTTTAAGGCAACTTGCAATCAATGAGAGCCCTTGGATCAAGATTAATCCTAGCCATTGATGTCAACTTGCATACATTGAGTTTGCCTATAAATAGAGGAATTTGGTCATTTGTAAATCCAACGAATTGAATCAAGGGGAAAGAGAGAATATTAGAGAGTTGAGAGAAAATTCCTATAGATAGAAAGAGGATTAAAGTGAGGTAAAACAATATCTTTGTAGAGAGAAAATTGTAGTGTGTTTGTAAATAGTTTTTCTCTTATATTTATACAAAGAATTTTCCCCAAATATATGTGTGCTCTTTTCCTCATAATTTTCCTATCTACCTTCTCTACCAAAGTTAACATATAATATAGCCTCATTGGTTAAATTATTGTGAGGGTGTAAGGCTGACTTAACAATATCTGGTGGGGACGGGAGTGTTGGGGCGTTAAGGCCGCACGGTTCTAGCATAGTTCGGGTGTAACGAAACTAGGGCAGTGACAAGTGGTATCAGAGCAAGGTTCACGTGGGGTTGAACCATTTTTTTATCTCAGAGGTGAGGTGATGTCCGTGTAAGGTTCACGTGGTGTGGACTACGGAGGCGACATCAAGGCGAAGGTTTAGTTGTTGTAACCAAGTGCGACTGTGGTAGTCAAATTCGCGAGAGGTTCTTGGAAGCTAGATTTGGGTGAGGTGCTCAAATGGCGGAATCTCATGTGCTGCCAAAATTGAAGTAGAGAGGAGACGTGGTGTTACCCCGGTAGAAAGAATGAGGAAGCGTGGTAAGAGCAAAGCATGGGAAACATCAATGATGGAGGAAAAACTTGACCCAATCATTATTACTATGGGTGATAGGGTCGAATCCTTGGAACACTCCATGGAGGAGTTGGAGGATCATGCCGTTGGAAAGTTAGAAACTCTCCAAATTAATGTCCAGGAAGCGACGGAAAATCAGGCATCATTGGGGGACGATGTCCAGGCGGTGAAGCATGATGTTCAGACTGTGGGAGTTAGACAAGCCGCTACGGGTGAAAATTTCACCCTTCTACAAGCCAAAGTCACTTATGCCAGCGCAATACAAGGGCAAGTGAACAGGTTGGTTATAACGTTGGAGAAAATGAACCAGGAGTTCAGACAAATCAAGCAATCAACTCCTAGTACTAGCGAAGGTGCCGCTACAAATGTTGTTGCCCCGAAAATTGACTACCCGAAGCCGAAGGAATATGATGGCCGTAGAGATGCTGCGGACGTGGAGAACTTCCTATGGCAAATGGAAGTATACTTTGATGGCGTAAATATATTCAAGGAGGAAATGAAGGTGCAGACTGCATCAATGTATCTCTCGGATATTGCGGCGTTGTGGTGACATCATAAGCATGACGAAATTGCAAGGGGAGCTTGCAAAGTTGATACTTGGGACAAGTTCAAAAGCGAGATAAAAAAGCAATTTTACCCGGAGAACATCGTCTATGAGGCCCACAAGAAATTGAGGGAATTGAAACATACGGGAACAATTCGTGACTATCACGACCCTTATGCTTCAAATCCCAAGCATGCCGGATGATGATTTGCTATTCTACTTTCTGGACAGTTGTACAACATGGGTACGACAAGAGTTGCAACGTCGCGGTGTCAAAGCCATAGATGAGGAAATTGTAGTAGCCGAATCCTTGACGGAGTTTGAAGAAAGTCTTGAGATCGAAGCTAAAACTATAAAACCCGCCAAAGGAAATTTTGGAAGTAATACAAGGAAAGCCATGCAATGGAGTAAGCCGAATTGGAGGCAAAATTCTAAAGGTGATTATGGACTTGGTGGTAACACACAAGTTTTTTGGAGAAAGGAGTATGATGAGAAGAAGATGAGTAATTTTACACCTCGTGGTTGCTTTATTTGCAAAGGACTACATCTAATGAGGGATTGTCCTAAGTTGGGATCATTGGCATCCATTTCAAATTCGGAGAGCAAATCGGAGGCCATGGATAGCCAAGATGAGGATGAAGTTCGAATGAGTTCATTCCAGCTGTTTAATATTATGAATGCCGAAACAGTTTTTGTGGGGATGGAAACACGACAACTGTCGAGGATGCAGTTAGAGGAAGTCCTTGAAGATGATAAGGACATGATGCCCGCGAAATTGTCGAGGGAACTATCGAAAAAGAAGGAAAATGAGGAAGCATTGTCAAAGAAGTTCAAAATTAGGTACACGAAGGTTTGAAACTTCGACATGTGTGGGGACACTACAACAGGAGGAGTTGTCCATCTAAGGAACCAATACAGAGTTGCTAGGGTGAAGGTTGGTGTCGAAAGTGGCATGCAAGATGTTGCAACGGGAAGAGGTGTGAGGGGCACTGTAGAAGCCCGGTCATCGAGGAGATGGTGCTCCAACTTGGAAGAACTTTGATACCCATTGACGTGGAGGACAATGCAAAGTTGCATGAGGATGCAGAGAACACGTTCCGTTACGAGGACGTTGGCAGATTGAGTGGGGGGGAATGTCACGAACCGCAAGTCATGACTTGAGGCTTGGCATGACACGGGAATATCATGACACAAAGTGGAAAAATGAGATAGGCTTGTGGCAAATAAGGTCTAAGTTTCGACGGTACATGGCGATGAGGGTGTCGCCAAACTTAGTGGGGGAATGACTTACGTCCCCCATGGTCGCGGTTGATACGTTTAGGTTGTGGCTGAGGAATGCGGGTAACGCAGGTAGTGTGTTATTGCTGGAAGGCAATGCTTGTGGTAGGGGACTCAAGTAGGGAAAACACAGGCACTACGTTGAAGACGCAGGCTGAACAACACAAGAACCTGCGATAGGGGACGCAGGCAGGACCAAGACAGGAACTGCGGCAGGGGGACGCAAGCAGGCAAAACACAGGCAGATTGCGGCAGGGAATGCAATAGCAACACAGGCAGATTGCGGCAGGGGACGCAACAGCAAAGACAGACTGTGTAGGTAGCCGCAGGCTGGGAACGCAGGCAGACGTTGGCTGGGGACGCAGGGACGAAAATCTAGTTTTCTTGGGTAAAAACCACTATCACGAGAGGGAAGCAATACCGTGGATTATAGCTGGTAGTTTTGGACGCAAGCGTATGCCAACTCGAGCCAATTGGACAACTTACATGCAAATTGACAACTTGCTTGAGGAAGCAAAGTCTAACTTGCCCAACTTGATGGAGACATGTCCACTTGCACACATGAGTTGTATAAGATCCACTTGCATGGAAAGTGACATGCCAACTATTATAGAGTTGGAAAGAGGCAAGATACAATGCACCAAGGCAATTTGCAAGTGTAGAGATATGTCACTTGCAAGGTAGTCAATTCCAACTTAGCAACCTTATGGTCAAAGGAGGTCTAAGCCAATTTGCAACCAATGAGAGCCCTTGGATTAAGATTAATCCTAGCCATTGATGTCAACTTGCATACATTGAGTTTGCCTATAAATAGAGAGACTTGGTCATTTGTAAATCCAATGAATTGAATCAATGGGAAAGAAAGAATATTAGAGAGTTGAGAGAAAATTCTCATAGATAGAAAGGGGATTAAAGTGAGGTAGAGTAATATCTTTGTAGAGAGAAAATTGTAGTGTGTTTGTAAATAATTTTCTCTTATATTTATACAAAGAATTTTCCCCAAATATATGTGTGCGCTCTTTTCCTCATAATTTTCCTTTCTACCTTCTCTACCAAAGTTAACATATAATTTAACCTCATTGGTTAAATTATTGTGAGGGTGTAAAGCTGACTTAACGCTATCTCGTGGGGACAGAAGGTTGGGGCGTTAGGCCGCACGATTCTAGCGTAATTCGGGTGTAACGAAACTAGGCTCGTAACAAGTGGTATCAGAGAACACGTTTCACTACGAGGATGTTAGCAAATTGAGTGGGGGAGAATGTCACGGACCGCAAGGTCATGACTTGAAGCTTGGCATGACACAGGAATGTCATGGTACAAAGTGGGAAAATTTGATAGACTTATGGCAAGTAATGTCTAAGCTTCGCCGGTACATGGCGATGAGGGTGTCGCCAAATTTAGTGGGGGAGTGACTTACGTCCCCTGTGGTCGCGGCTGATACGTCGAGGTTGTGGCTGGGGAATGCAGGTAACGTAGGCAGTGCGTTACTGCTGGATGGAAGTGCCTGCGGTAGGGAATGCAGGTAGGGAAAATACAGGCATTGCGTTAGGGGACGCAAGCTGAACCTGCGGTAGGGGACGTAGGTAGGACCAAGACAGGAACTGCGACAGGAGGACGCAGGCAGGCAAAACACAGGCAAACGCAGGCAGATTGCGACAAGGGACGCAACAACAACATATTTAGATTGTGTAGGTAGCCACAGGCTGGAGACGCAGGCAGACGTTGGCTGGGGACGTAGGGACAAAGATCTAGTTTTCTCGGGTGAAAACCACTATCATGAGAGGGAAGCGATGCCGTGGATCATAGCCGGTAGTTTTGGATGCAAGTATATGCCAACTCGAGCCAATTGGACAACTTACATGCAACATGACAACTTGCTTGATGAAGCAAAGTCCAACTTGACCACTTTGATGGAGACATATCCACTTGCACACAATAGTTGTATAAGATCCACTTGCATGGAAAGTGACATGCCAACTATTAGAGAGTTGGAAAGAGGCAAGATACAATGCACCAAGGCAACTTGTAAGTGTAGAGATATGTCACTTGCAAGGTAGTCAATTCCAACTTTGCAACCTTATGATCAAATGAGGTTTAAGGCAACTTGCAATGAATGAGAGCCCTTGGATCAAGATCAATCATAGCCATTGATGCCAACTTGCATACCTTGAGTTTGCCTATAAATAGAGGGACTTGGTCATTTGTAAATCCAATGAATTGAATCAAGGGGAAAGAGAGAATATTAGAGAGTCGAGAGAAAATTTCCATAGGTAGAAAGGGGATTAAAGTGAGGTAGGGTAATATCTTTATAGAGAGAAAATTGTAGTGTGTTTGTAAATAGTTCTCTCTTATATTTATACAAAAAATTTCCCCAAATATATGTGTATGCTTTTTTCCTTATAATTTTCCTATCTACATTCTCTACCAAAGTTAACATATAATATAGCCTCATTGGTTAAATTATTGTGAGGGTGTAAGGCTGACTTAACAATATCTCGTGGGGACGGGAGTGTTGGGGCGTTAAGGCCGCACGGTTTTAGCGTAGTTCGGGTGTAACGAAACTAGGCCTGTGACACTCTGCTCTTTATATGAAGACGAATACCTCCACAAATTTTTATCCTCTTCATCTTATCCCTCCCTCTCTCTCTGGAAACTACTTTCATTATTCGATTTCACAAGAGCCTAGTTCCGCTTTCTGATCAGGTAATTCTACTGTTTAATTTTACAAATTTGAGATGATCAAGTAATTCTCCTTTCTATTTATTATGGGTATTAGAATCGTATGTAGGAACTGTATGCAAAAGTGTAGAACCGTGTAGTCTGATTGTTTGATCCAGAATATGAATGAGAAAGATGATCAGATTATATATATTTGCTCTGATACCATATTAGAGACGAATGGAGGAGTGAACTGAATTTCATTGATCATCTATTCAGTGAAAAGCGTATGTACAAAGATGTATAAATAGCATTTAAAGTTGGCACCAAAAATATATGCCAGCTGGATAACAGCACGACAACTTGGAACCAGCTGAGCCAACTAACAAGGAAACTAACCAATCGAAAATAAGACTACACGGTTCAACACTTTTGCATACAATTCCTACATACAATTCTAATAATGGGAATTTTGTCTTTCTTGATTTTTTTGAAAGATTGACAAAATTACGTTTTTCATTTTAGCACAACCAAGAAAGGTGATGACGGTTGAATCTTTTGTGGAAAACCGAAAAGATGTCGGTTTTGATCAAGAAGAAATATTATATCAATTAAATATCAATTTACTAAGTGCTTGTTTGATGGAGATTTTAATAATTGATTTTTTTGACCGTTAGAAAAAAATGGGTCCTACCCGTGAGAGAAGAATTAAAAAATGACGGCTGGAATAATGCAATAATAGTGAAAAAATTGTTTTTAATTGACTTAAAATCTAAACCAAACAAGCTCTAAACAACATATAAGGAACATGGAATTTTTCTCCATAACCAAATTGCAGTGAGGGTACTTCATAGCCAATTTCATTTTTCCTTTTTCTTTTGGCAAAATATATTAGTGCATTTTAGTACTTTATATTTCAAATTTTAATGGTGATAGTTGACTCAATTGTCTACTTTTTAAAATAAGATTGAATTTTAATGAGATGAGTTTAAAAGAAAAAAATATTTAAATTGAAATTCTCTATGGGATATGTATACAAGTATATCAAGATTCTACACTTTGTCGAATGAAAACAATAGCCCTAGAGCATTTCCAAGAGACTTTAAATTATGTGTCAAATATAAAGAGCATGTTGGAGTATTTCAAAATTTTCATTCTCTAAATTTATAGATATTTTCCAGATGATATAATATGCTCTTTAAAAATTGAGTCGCTTTGTTGCTGAAATTGGTAAAGAATCTCAAAATGAGTTCTCTGAAGATGAAAAATCACCGATATTGAGGAAATACGATCTGGTTGGCGAGAGGTAAATTGTCCTTTTCCATTCTTTTCGCCAATTCATGAGTAAATGCTTCTTGTTATAGTTCGTATGATTGCAGAATTGTGTTCGAGAAACTTATCCTGATTATTGTGATCAAATGGTTATTGATGGTTGAGAGAGTACCTGGTAGAACTGCTGAGGAACTTGACTGCTGAGGAACTTGAAAAGTACTGAAATTCTAGATATTCCACAAATCAACGATACACTGAGAAACATTTGAATTGCAAATGTCCAGGAAAAACAGTAATATATGTATGAATTTTGAATTCTTATGGCGGAGGAACACAGAAAGTTGCTACTTTTGCCATGAAGGAATTTGTTAAAATGCCGAGTGGAGATCTCATGTTCCGGCAGGGCCAATAGAGCCCATATTTATTTGTATGTTCTTTTTTACTTTTTTCGAGAATTACTAGTTCACCATCAATGAAAATTGTGAGACTGCATGTAATGCTTGTATCTATACGAAGAGATGGCCAAGCCCACTAGGGCCTATAACTATGTTTTAAAAATTTAACTAAAAAGGTCTGGTGGTGTACTCACACAACGTGGCCACCAACCACTAAAAATTTTGGGGCATACGTAAAAATTTTGGGGCATACAACCTAAACTGGATTTATACTTCTAGACATTTTGAGTCATTAAAATTATTAGACATCCGGAACAAGGTAATAAACCAACTAAACAACGGTTACACATGAAAAGAGCCAAGAGAAATACCATTTTATGGCGCATGTTAAAAGCACAAATGAAGTGATCAAATATGAAAAATGAATGAAAAGCTGAAAAATTGCGACAAGTGTAATAAGACGGCTCGATAAATTCTGGGAACATCATAGAAAGTACATTTCAGTGTTCATACAGCTACCGACGATATACGCAAAGACCAACATCAGTTATTACAGTAAGATTACATCAAGTTCGAGAGGATTGCAAATATTATGCTGTTCTAATATTAGCAGAAGAAACAGAATCAACAAATCAAACTAGTCTTCATCATGCATTGCTTTGTTTGTAAAATTTGGTATCAAGTACTTGCTTCCCACACATTGCACATACTCCTGCATTATTAAAGTATCTCAGAACACTCCACAAAGTACGCATTCATCGAAATAAGACGGACATAAATGTTGAAGAGAAGCACGAACTACCTTTACTGTAAGCACATGTATGACAATACTTGGCATCTTGATGGACTTGCTGCTTACAGATAATGCACTTGGTTTGTCCATAAGGTGTCCATCTGCAAGACAATCACTTTGCTCAAAATTGCACACATAAGAAAAAGGCACAGCCATACAGTTCAGCACAATTTCATACGAAAAAATATCATCTATTTTTGTAGAAAAACACTAAGAGATAGCTGCTTAAGAATCCAAAAAAGACTGAAGGGGAAAGCACAATAAAAATCACAAAAGCAATCACTTCATCAGATGAACAGACTTCTAGCCTTTTTGTAGATGGATTCAAAACGTTGATCCATATCCCATCAACACTTTCTATCTGATGGAACATTGATTGTGGCTCTTCCTCTAAAGACTCATCAAACTATCTCGCTTGTTTCTTGTACCCAAAACAAAGAACTTCTATAGGACCAAACAGCACATCCTTGTCCAGCATATAACATTCAGAAATGAAGCAGAGACCACACTTGTATCGTTATTCATGCGTCCCACTCTCCTTCCTATTGAAGCACTAAGCACTAATTCATTTTAGCATTATTACAATTCTACAGAGAACATTAACCAAAATAAAGTGTAAACCACAGGTTACAGGAATTAGCTACTATATGACTGCAGACCAGCACATATTTCAATTTTTCTACATGGGTAAGCAAGTTGAGAGCTCCACATGGTCACAACATTGCTTACAACTTTTAATATCAATAGTAAAGAATAAACAATATAGTTCAGCAAAATCTTCAAACTTATATTAAAAAAAATCACACCATATCTAGCAAATACAAACAAAATCCAATATATTGGTAAATTTAGTGGAAAAAATCCAAGCCTTTTGTAGTAGCGGCAAATTTTCCAATAAATAAAATTCCGAAATGCATTCAATTAAACATAAACTGTCTTCAAGAAAAAAAAAAAAAGAAGATAATTGGTAGACCTGTGTTTTTTAGAGAGAAGCTTGTTCTCGTTGATCTTCCTGCCGCCGCCTTCGGTAGCGTTGTGGGCCCCTTCTTTCCATTTGTCCGGCACTATTATCTTGGACAGCTTCTTCTCGCCTATACATATATACATACATACCCTTGTATAAAATACCCAATCGGACAACACCCGCAGTGATTTATTAAAAATTACACCGATCAAATACATACACGTGGCTATATAGGATGAAATTGAAAGCAAAGAGGAGAAAGAACTTACACTTTTCGCAGACCATTGTGAGCTGGAAATTAATAACCCGATGGAAGGTGAAGGAATTTGTTGGAGAAGGGAAAGGGGGACGATGGTGTTATTTGACGAACATACGCAGCACGCTTTACTCGCAAAAGAATCGGTTGCTGGCTCGGTGAGATCCTATTGCAAATTTTTTTTTTTTTTTTTACTATATATATATA